GATAATAAAGTTATACGAAATGATGCATAATTTGATTAAATTAATCCTAGAATAAAAGATGGAAGTAATGAAACATTCATGAAGTCTTTATTGATCATTACATATTGCCACGTATATTAGTAATTAAATCGATGAATTCATCATTGATACACTTCTCACGATCGTTCGGTGTACTGTTATAAAACAGTAATATAAAACAGTTCTGTTACGAAATCTTAAGCAACTGAATACATGTTGGGTGGAACGCTGTAAAGAGAAAAATAATTATCTTTAATATCGTGGGATGGATGTATGTTTGCTATACCTGTTACACGATTGTTTTCATCAAGTTTTCATCAAACTACTGTTTACTGATGATCTATACTATCCATCAAAAGAAATAGGAACCCTCATGGAATACAGGAAGAAAGGGATGATGTAGGACCTTTTACACATAATTAGATATATTATACATAATCATGTATGCATTTTCATTATTTTTGTGTCTTGTAATGCTTCAATGTTTAAATTAAATGTGTCAATATTTTCTGTAATACTGGTTTATCGAGATCATAAAATCGCCCGAAAGTCAATATCGTTACAAAATGTGCGTGCTATCCCAACATATCAATGGTAATGACCCGAAGAGATAAATAAGGATAAAGATAATCACGTTGCCATTGCACGCATTGTATCACGCGATTCGGCGCTGTAATTCCGTGAACATCAGTTTTTTTATTTTTACGTAGTGAAGCAGTAATAAAGGAATGAATGAACGAAAACGGGTGGGGATTTTGGATATCGCGTGGTACGATAACGTCGATGATTTTTGCGATACGATTTTCCTCTGAAGAGTTTTCGAACGGAAACCGCGTTATTACGGTTGCGCGCGATCGAACGCGGTCAAATGTTCTCTCGTTAAATTAAAGTGCATCGAGGGCTGTTGCATTTTAATGCACCGGTACGTACTACATACTTGCTCCTCTTTTTATTACACCGCAGACTGATCGAGCTACGCTCATGAGGATACAAGCTCCTCCAACCGAATTCACGTAAACCGAATAGCAACACGCGATCGAGAAATGATGCTGGCTTTGAATTTCTCAACGACCTCCTACGTTCCTATTAATTAAACTCTGATTTTATTTTAGATTTCTATTATGTAAATATCTTGATTCTTTTGATAATTACATTTCTCTTCTGTGAGATGCAACAATAATTTTACGTAAAAGAACAGAAATCAGAATAATGAATAGCATAACATACGTATATTATACTTTCTCTTGCATTTACTATTACCTGTCTCACATACAACGTTATGTCTTATAATTACCATCGCGTATGTAATTTAGACTTTCTAGCAATGATTTTTTTATAACAATTAGAAAACAGACGGAAACGTAGTTTGTGCTGGTTTCAAGAAAGACGTTTCCTTGCTAAGAACGAACATTGCCATTTACGAAAGCACGGGAAACGGCTCTGAAATGGAATACAATAAAAAAAGCTGTTTTACTACCAACCCCTGTAACAAGCATCGATTGCTGTGCCTAGCTAAACGTGTTTAATAGGTAGTTCAACTTTGTGCGTGCGACTGGATCGATCGAATCGTCTCACTGTACATACCAACATACTAAATTGACGAATGGGTGAGTCTGAACATGCTGGCTGCTCCTATTGAATGGTTTGAGGGTCTATTGTACCGGAAGCCATCCAAAACCACAAGCAATAAACCAGTAAACAGTCACAGTTTATCTAATTTCGTTCAAGTCTATAATTACACTTTATTTCAAATAATAATCTAATAAATAGAATTCACGTGTGACAAAATTCATAGAACGAGAGAATTCTATATAAAAATTAATTCATTTAATATCTCGAATTTAATCGACCGAAGAGAAGTACCTATCTGATTCATTGGTCAGATACTTAATACTCGTCGATTTTTCCAGCACGGTGAACAAGTAAACAAAACTCATTCTTCTCAAGAGCTCTCGCATTCTGATTAATTTCATCGTGCTCGAGGGTGTTCACTGCGCATCGCGCTGCATCTGTTGCAGCGGCTCCTAGCCGTGTATCTTTAGAATTCCCCTCGTTTCTTTGTCGTACCGCGCTTTATTCGAGATGCCGTCCTTTTTTTTTTCAGAAAAACTCCAGGAAACTGTAGCGACGAAAACCCGCCTACTTCCTGTTTCTTTCTCAGAGCACGTTTACAAGGATAAATAAAAAGAATTTTCTACTTCTGCCCATTTTGTAATCCGACGTATTTCAATAGATTTGATAAAAACTTAATTTTAATAATCATTTTAATACGTACCTGCAGTGGATCGTTTGAGCCCCAGGCGATATCTGTACATAACTACATTTAACGTGACACCGTTGAACACGAGTAACTCGCGAGATCGGAGGTCACAATTCAACGAAAGCTGAGAATTATCTCCTTCTTGGCATCGTTCACAATTAGCCTTTGTTCGCCGCGTATAGAACACACGCTACCGCTTGCTTCGCGCCGCGTCGGAATTACGCTTCAATTTATAGCTCCGCGCATTTTGCAGCAGAACGAATGTAACTGTGAAAACACTGTTCCCGTGTACATGTACTTTCTCGTTATATTTTTCACTTCGAGCTTTATGAAACTTTTTGCGTTTTCATTTGCTCCGTCGTCGCAGAACGCGAATACGACATAAATATTGTATGAAATGACACGAAAAATAAACGAGATCACGAAACAAGGATCTCTTTTTCCACGGTTATCTGGAAACCGCATGGGGGAGAAGTGCAGATGCCGGTGTAACGCAAGATGTTCGTGATAAATAGCAGCAGCCTCTGCACGCGGCGGACGCAGTGGCATCGCAGGGCACACGTTCTACTATGTGCATATTATACATACTTAACAACCGTAGAAATTCGAAACAAGTGTGCCGTAACTCAACACTGGCCACTTTCATCGGCGAGCATGCCGAGTTCCCTATGGATTGAATTACGCCCGCACATCCGACCACCTTGAAAAACTAACGACATTACATAAATTCCCTGAACAGATTGGAACGACCTACGAAGAACGTTTGAACCGACAGTCTCGTTCGAGCGCCTCATCATAGATCGTTATACGGTCAAAAGAAAGTTGAAACGCCTATTCGTGTTTCATTTCAAAATTATACGCAGCTACGCGAACTTTCTGCTCATTATCATACGGATTCAATACGCCGAACGAATACTTACTAGTCTGGAAATAGATAATCGGGAAATTGCGCGTAGCAGAAATCAGTGCGACCATGAAATATAGAATATAAGCATCGCGCGAAAATCGGACGAGTTACGCAAACAAACCGGAGTCTCGTTTAGCCGACGCAATGGTTCTAAGCGAAGCGATGGTTTTCCTAAATAATATACGAACTTGAGAAAGAAAATATTTTTTGAAGAGCCGGTCTGAATTTTCTCACGTAACGCTATAAGAATTTTCCCAACGACGAGCTGCCTGCTGTTGGGTAAAACGATCCTACTTCTTGGACAAAAAAATTGTTCAGTCGAGAGGAGCATCCTTCTTCAGAGAGGATCCTGCGGGTCGTTTCCTGCGGTTTCATTGTTCCCGTTTCGGGGCGTTATACGCGGCCGAATACCAGCCAGTCGAGATCGATGAATAATCAAACATTCAACGAAGTTTATCAGACCAGTAATTGCATTCTCAACGGCACCGAGATCCTCTTTATATTGTGTCTCGGACTGGGTTCACATAAGCAATACCACTTGCGAAAGTGCTCTTTTGTCTAAAATGATTTCACAGAACTTAATCGCAAAGTTACTCATGCATTCGTCATCCTAAGTTACGAGTACCCATTCAAAAAATGGCATTGATTACTGATATCGAATGTTTTGTTTAAAGTCGATATCTTAAACTTTGAGAATATTCGCGTTCATAATATGTTTTTTAACGAAACGCGCAACGCGTTCGTCCTTCAAGGAAGATTAAAAATACGCGCGAATGATAATATCTATCGATTGGAGAGTGACATTAAAAACTAGGAAATTAAAAATACACGACAAACTTAATTATTATCGAGCGTTCAGTTCTCCGTCATACGAAAACGGCTTCCTCCGATGGAGCTTTTAACAAGATTACACGATTTACTATACGCTGATACGTTATTTGTATGAAAACGTATCTAGGATGAGGAGGGGGTATTGTTATCAAAAATATGGTATTTCACACGTTTGAAATTTGCATACACACGAAAGCCAAGAACTTTTCTACGGTTTCGCATTCGAGAGAAGCTTAGCAATGCGTTCGGTTTAACTGTCAACGTGTGAATTCGGGCGAGCGTATTTATTTGAAAGGGTGCAACGGCATGGATGAAAGATGAAATTCACGTGTCAATCACGTGCAAACGAAACGTGAAGCTAATACGTTCCAGAAACTGTGTATAAATAGTCATTTTGTGAACAACAAAGAAGTTCATTCCGCAATCAACAGAAGGATGTTTGATAAATCAAGCATAAGTAGATAATGAAGACTAATGAATCGTCTCAGATTCTCAAGTAGACGTACGTTGCACGCAGGGTAAATAACCTACATATGTTTGTATGTACGTATGTATGTATGATTCATGTGAGATAAATACATTATCTCCTCGTTGCGTAATGCAGTGATTTCGGAAAACGTGATGCACGGTGTCTCAAGTCAACGGTCATAGCACGATTCGATTGTCAAAGATTTAAACCTGTACAATAGAGTAATGCGAGAACTGACAAAAGTCAGTAACTTGGTACATTACATAAAGGTTTTATAATCTCTTCGATAGCCAAGCAGTCAACAACTACAAATTTGACTCTGAATAAATATTTGGCTTGAAAGTGTGTCACCTTCAAGCGTGCATCATTTTTTTTCCAATAGAATTCTGTACATATAATTTTTGGAGTTGCTCATATCAGCTCCAATGTAGAAATGGTATAAGAATAGAAGAAATGATTGTTGAAATTCGCATGTGTTTTGTTTAGAAGATTTGGCCCATAAAAGGAAAGCTTACCGAAATATTTGTCCGGTTCCAGTCCCGAATCCTTGTCCAAGCCGCATATGACGAAATAATCCGCGAATCTCTGTGGATGTTGCTCCGGTCCGCGCATTATTCCCAGGCTCCCGTTCATCTTTTTCCTCGGTGAAAGAGAGGAAGTAATCGTATACGCGGGTCACACCACTTTGGCACACGAAGCACTCCCCTCACGAAGAGAATTTCCACATCGCGAAACACCGCGAAACTGTCATTTCACGCGAGAGCGAAACAACAGCTGATGTTGACACGTAACGTACCACCGAACGTTAACGGCACGACACGACTCCCACGACTCCGCGGAGTGTGGACTTGTGCTACGCTTGTGGAGTATTGTGGACCTCTCGCCGCTCGCTGCTCGCCGCGAATAATTGATCTTTACTCAACAATCTGAACTTGGCCCCAGATCCGATCAAGTGACTGCGGTGCAAAATTGGCGCACGGAGTTCAAAAACGTTGGAAGCCCCTCCAGAATTTTGATTTAACTTTGAAAGGACACAATGAATTCATTGCACTTTTATTATGTATGCTTATTGTATAAAATAGGAGCAGAGGAACATATACATGTAAATTACGTATGCGTACGATATAAAGTAGTCTTCAAACTATTGAGTAACACGTAATGCATCTACTACACCTACTATTGAAATCGCTATCTCTTTGCATAATTACTTCGCATCTCTTTCACAATTCACTTTAGAATTTATTTTCCATGAATCAGAGAAAGATGAAACGATCAATATGACGTGAATATCACGTTGGCAAAACTGACACTGACACGTTCTTACTTACGCCGTCTGCTTCATGGAATGACTGCACCGACTGCACAAATGTTTGTTCACTTATGGACAGGTTAAATTTGTGCGATTCAACTTGAAATTCGTTTCGATAATAACGATACCGTAGAGGATTTTAGTATTTTCACATTTTTTACGGATGATGGAGGAGGTTGACAATATAATCATTCACTCATTACGTCAAATAGGCTGGTAAGCTTTATTTAAAATGATTATTCATCGGTCTTCTGATATCAACCGGTTTCGAATAGAAGTGGGTGGCTACGTCTACTTATGTGATAAAATTTAGTTTCGAATAACAAGCAAATGTGCTTCTCCGAAGCTAAATGAATTGCAAAATTATTCAAATAGCAAATGTTATATATTTTGATATAATCCTAATGTCAATTTTCCTTTTTCAGTGAGATAGAAGAGAGTGTAACAAATCTCAGTAATTTCAATACAGAGTTAGTGGTAGAGGCAACTGTAAAATGTTTAGACATAATAAAACCAGGCCTTGGATTATCTACAGTCTTACCAATAAATATGGCAGCCAGATTTCGATTAGGCGCCTCACTTGCTCAAGCATGTTCAGTAAGACTGTCTAAAGATTATTTCATATGCAATCTTCGTAGTTCGTCTTTATATTGATACCCAGGTTTTGAATTTAGGAACTAGGATACAAAGGTGATATTGGCTATCAAACATTTTTATATAGCTCAGAATCTGACTTAAGAAAAGTTTTTATGTTTCTTATTGAAAAATTGCCAAAAGAAAGTGATAAAGCTTTAAGCGAACCTGTTAGCAATATCGCGTTATTGGAAAAATCGATAGCATCGGTAATGGCACAACACCTCTCTGCTCCGTGGTTACCGCATTATTGTCATGCGAAGGGATTTAGAAATAGAGGAAGAGCAAGGGTTCCTTATAAGTCTGTGAATTTAGAAGTCCCAAAAATGGAGGCAGAAGGAGGTAGCATTGACTCTATTCTTGGTATAATAATAATCATACTCGATCTAAGAGGATCTTGTTTATCACAGAATATCAAGATTATTACATACATTATCTGCAGCCTATGCCTGAACAAGTGCAAAATGAATCGTCTGTTCTACCTTCGTTGATATCCTTCAATGCGAGAGCTCTTCATTCGCATCCAATGAGTCTCACTGATCAAATTAATTGGCTAAATAAACAATATTGTGATAAAATTACTGAAACAAACGTGTCTACCGATGTTAACATTCTTAATAGGGTCTCGTTAATGGACACATCATTACCTCCTAAGGTAAGCTCCGAGATATCGATGTGTTTTTATACTGTATTAATTTTGTTGCTGATTTACAGGAATCTGAAGTAAAAGACAACAGTACTAAAGATGAACAAATCACAGAACATAACATCTCGGATAAAGTAGAAAAGCAAGATCTACATGTAGATAAAATAAAAGCAGAATGCGAAAGTTTCAGAAGTAACATAGAAGAATTGCAAGACGTAATTAAGAACTTAACTACTAGTGTAACTCAAGTAACAATAAATTATCAAAATGAGGAAAAGGAATTAACAATCAATGAAGAACAGAAGAAGATTAAGGCAAGAATCTATGACTTATTACAAGACGGTGAGGAGAATGTAAAAAAATTGGAAGCTACGATTAATACTACTACGCATAAATTAATCAATTTGGCTAATCAATGGGAAAAACATAGAGTACCACTAATTCAAAAATATAGAGAAGAGAGAGAAAAACATTCTACTAAAGCTGTAAGTATTATTGCATTCCTAGAAAATATAATGAAAATCGTGAAGTTAAAATATTTTCGTACTTGTTAGAGCGCAAGCCAAAAGAAACTCGACGAAATTAAGTTACTAAAGGAGAAAGAAAGAGAGTTGCAAGAAGAGTGTCGAAACAAAGATCAACAGTACACTCAATTAGTAACCGAAGTTCAAAAACTTCCTAAGGAAGTAAACCGATCGGCGTATACTCAACGAATTTTAGAGATAATCAACAACATCAGGAAACAGAGGGATGAAATTAGCAAAGTATTGGCGGATACGAGAGAAATTCAAAAAGAAATTAACACGCTGACGGGTAGATTGGAGAGATCGTTCACTGTCGTCGATGAATTGATATTTCGAGATGCGAAAGCGAACGAAGCGTCGAGAAAAGCTTATAAGCTATTGGCTACGTTGCACGCTGACTGTGGCGAACTTGTAAAATTAGTAGAAGAAACTGGCGCTACTATAAGAGAGATCAGGGACTTAGAAGAACAGGTAAATAATGAATATCATCGAGATCATCTCATATTTAAATACTATTATGAAAATACTACTGTATTTGTAATTTCATTACAGATCGATTCTGAAGCAACCAAGAATGTCGGAGCAAACTTGGAAAGAATAACTGCGGATTTGAAACAAATGAAACAGGAAACGGCAGAGTTAACAGCACAACTACAGAACAAAGCCTCGTGATTTCCATACAAGCTGTGATATTATGACATAGATTGTAATAACAACGACCAGGTAAAAGATCAAATGCAGAACTTCTAGTAAAATTTACATTACGTGTATGTATGAGATCGTATTATTTATAGGAGACATTCCTCGCAAAATGATCTTGAAGACCAACTTTTGTAGTTATGCAGAATTTGATATATTGCTGCCCGTGAAGCAATCTTCCAAAGTTCGTTAAAGGGTGACTGCTAAATTTGTGCCTTGGCCCCAGTTACAGCTTACTGTGCTTAAAAAAGGGTCAAGTATATAATACAAATTAATTTAATATCAACGCTCAAAACGGAACGTCATTTGTTACAGAGCCTAATAATTTTTTAGCATAAACTTTAATTATGTACAGTTTCATATTACTGAGAACTAAGTGGCTTTGGAGTTATCTACTATGACTCTAGATAATGAACGTTTAAGAAAATACTTTTAAGCGATTATGTACAAAATACGAGAGATAAATAATATGTAACATGTATTGTTTGCTATTTCCTAGCAATTATGACCCCTCTACAATTAACTTTGATACAAACTCAATTTATTAAATATAATTATAATTATATTTGTTATAAATACAATTATAATTATTTTAAAGACTATTTTCTCTGGTTCTAAATCCTAGGAGGTACATATTCTTCTTGTTGTTCCAATCTCTTCAACTTTGTCAGAGCACGAGGCATTTTAAGAATACGTTCCATTTCCGCTTTCTCTTGTGCTTCCTTCTTCTCGATTTCTAATTCTATTTCCTCTTCATTATCGAAGAATGTTAAGAGCTTTTCTTTTTCTTCTAAATATTTCTTTAGTTTGTTTATCTCTTCCAATTTATTTTGACGATTTATTTCCTGTATTTGTTTGTTCAGTACTCTTTCTCTCTGTTTTCCCCATTCAGCATATTTCTATAACAGTACATAAATTTAATGAATAAATTAATTTTAGTTAATTAACATTTATTTGCTGAAAGGTATTTAATTACCTGTATCTGTTCATTTACATCTATATCATGTTGCTTCTCAACTGCACATTTAACATTATTTTCTAATGCTTCAGTTAAACTTTCTTTGCATAAACTCTTCTGTTTTAGCATATCCATTTGAGACATTAAATCTTTAAATTCACTTGTTGCCTCTTCTCCAGTTACATTTTCATTATGTTTCTCAATCAAATTAAGAACTTCTTCATAAACAATATTTTCTTCAAGTCCATTCAACCATTGCTGTACTAATTCCAATGCATCTTTATATTTTTTATATAATATTAAACCTCTCAACTGACAGGATCTTCCTAATGCACCGCCTAGAGCATTTCCTTGAAAAGCTAAAGTCTTCCCAACTAAATCTTGTGGATCTGTGAGATCAAAGTGATCGTCAAAGAAAGGATTTCTAAGAAAAGCTACACGTATCCTAATTTCTTCTTTGGAATCATCTATAGGCTCTGGTGGCTTCTGCCACGTATCAGGATCCTCTAAATATTTGTGACAAGCATATAAAGACAGTGCATTCGTTATTGGATTCTCTACGTCTTCTTGTAGCATAGGTAAAACACCAACTTTCGCAGCACTGGCGTAATCATTTTGCTTGATATATGTATCCATAAGTATATTATAACTCAAATGATCAGGAAAAATTCCATAAGTAAGCCTGTCATGTAGTGTGTTCGTAAGTTCTGTGGTGTAATCATTCTCCAATAAATATCTTATGACTGCATGATGCGTTGAGTCCAAGGTATTTGTTGTCTCCGCACTCTTCCGCAGATTTTGAAGTACCAACAACAATTCGTCCAAGTGATCTTTCGTCTGTATGGTATTCGCAAATATGTCAACATCGACTGCACTAACTTTCCCGGCAGTCATGAATTTATGATTCAAGGTTAAAAACAAGTCCTCCGGTTTACATTTTTGTAATAATGGTGTTTCGAATCGGGTTTTCCATGCTTCCTCGCACCGGTACGCTTCCGATAGAAAAGTTCGTTTCTGCACGGTTCTCCTCGTTAATCTATGGCACGTTTTTTGACCTGACTTAATTATTTTCAACATTTTGCACTGTTATTAATGATTCATATTTTTATATTATCGCTTTTGAATGTAAATATACAAATCACGAAAGGTTACACCAGCCCATGCAGCGATGCAATGCTATAGATGGCTACAGACGAGGTATACTTTTTGTCGTGCACTAATTGTAGCATAGGAGCTCAGGAGGCGCTACCACAGTATTGTGGTGCTACTTCATCTTCATTTTACTTCAGTGTGCTCAAGTGTGCTTAATAAAATGTCGCTAACAAGGTACGTTGTTGTGAAAATTTCTCTTTAAAATACGTTTATTCGATTGAATATTGGTCCTCGTATAGTTTCTAACTTGTTCGATGTACTAGAGAACGAATAGTTTCTCGCGCGATGCGGGTTTCTATAAGGTCTAGCCTGTATTTGTTGGGAATCACGAAGGGTGTATCGCGTCTCAACTATTCTCATTAATCCTTACGTTCTTAACTACTAATTTGGCATATCAAATACTTTTTGAGTGTTAGCTTTTTGTTTGTTACAGCTTGTTACCTGCACCTTCGCAGGTAGTGTGGGACAGGGAGGATGAGGCACGGGAGCAAAAATTACGACAAAGACCTGTATCCGCGCTTGTCAAAGCCGTGGTTACTGCACCACCTTATGGACAACGGAAAGGATGGGTGCCAAGAAATCCAGAGGTAAATAATATCACGATAATCTCAATCTTCTCTTAACGAGGCTGAATGAAAACAATTCGTGACTCTGTTTAGGATTTTGGAGATGGCGGAGCATTCCCAGAGATCCATGTGGCTCAATATCCACTTGGAATGGGGATGAAAGGAAAAGAAACCACCAGCAATGCCTTGGCTGTTCAGCTAGATGCCGAGGGAAAAGTTAAATACGACGTAATTGCTAGGCAGGGTCATTCTAAGGATAAGGTATGGACTACAGATAGTAACATTTAACTATATCATTTTTTACGTACAACACGTGATTTTCCATTTATAGATTGTATATAGCAAGTTGAGTGATCTGCTACCATCGGAAATCACGAGCGAGGAGGATCCCAGTTTGCAACGTCCGCCTACCGAGGAGATAGATGAGCTTACGGAAAAAACTAAAAGAGCTTTGGAAAAGATCACGAGATCGAAGATAGCCGCGGCAATGCCAGTGAGGTGCGCGGAAAAGCAAGCGCCAGCGCAGTATATTCGATATACGCCATCGCAACAAGGACAGTCGTTTAATTCCGGAGCTAAGCAGAGAGTTATCAGAATGGTAGAAGCTCAAATAGATCCTTTGGAACCACCGAAATTCAAGTAAGTTTCGCGAAGACACGAAGCACTTCGTTCAAGGCGAAACGAACGTTCAAATAAAGCATCGTTTACTACGTTGTGTAATAATCAGGCCTTACTTGACCGTAGAATTAATAAAAAGATACCACGAGGACCTCCATCACCTCCGGCACCAGTCATGCATTCGCCTACGAGGAAGGTGACAGTCAAAGAACAAAAGGAATGGAAGATACCACCCTGTATCAGTAATTGGAAGAACGCGAAGGTAGATAAAACCCATTCTTTCATTTTCTCGTTGATTTATTTCTTACGAGCGGTCATTCTGTTTGCAGGGATACACAATTCCGCTGGACAAACGTTTAGCCGCGGATGGTCGTGGCTTGCAGCAAGTTCACATAAATGAGAACTTCGCCAAGTTGGCGGAGGCGCTTTATATCGCGGATAGAAAGGCCAGAGAGGCTGTGGAGATGCGTGCACAACTCGAGAAGAAGTTGGCACAGAAGGAGAAAGAAAAGAAAGAAGATCATTTGAGACAATTGGCCCAGAAGGCTAGAGAGGAACGTGCCGGTTTGAAATCAGCCGCAATGGGTTCGTACATGTATTCTATGTGCTTTGCATAAGCGTTAAGATTCTGATTATCTCAAAATATTTGGAATTTGAAGTTCGATCCTACGAATCTAATAGTGTGCTGCTTTTAATGTTTCACAGAGAAATCGGAAGACTCTCGAGAAAGAGATCAGCTTAGACAAGAACGACACAAAGATCGTGCTCGCGAGCGCAACTTGGCGCGCGCTGCGCCCGACAAACGATCCAGATTGCAACGTGAGCGCGAACGAGATATCAGTGAACAGATTGCCCTCGGTTTACCCGCAAAGAGTATTCCCAGTGCCGGAGAAGCGCAGTTCGACCAACGATTGTTCAATACCAGTAAAGGAATGGACAGCGGTTATGGACATGACGACGAGTACAACGTTTACGACAAACCTTGGAAAGATTCAAATTCTCTCGCCACCCACATATACCGCCCTGGAAAGAACATCGACAAGGATACTTACGGAGACGATTTGGAGAAACTTGTTAAAACAAATCGGTATTTAATTTCTTTCTTTCCTTCCTTGACCGCACGATTACTTTTACCGTCGAATTTTACAATTTTCGCGTGTGTTTTCAGATTTGTTCCGGACAAAGAGTTCAGTGGAACCGATAGATCGACGACGCGCTCGGGACCTGTACAATTCGAAAAGGACGAGGAGGATCCTTTCGGTTTGGATCAGTTCTTGAAACAGGCGAAACGTGCAAGCAGTTCTACGACCACGACCACGAAACGCAAAGACGAAAGGGAACAACGGAGAGACGACCGCGACAAGCGAAGGAAACATTAACTTCCTAAGTGTACAAACTAAATTGTTCTCTGTTCGTTTAATATAATTATATGGATAGTATCGAGATTGTTAATTACATTTATCGATGTTATCAGCGTCGAAATTACAGATTGGAATCGGCACCGATTAAATGCGAAGAACTTTTCTACTTCTCTGTATGCGCTAATGATAATTTTACTCAAAACACTGATATATACAAAAATAAATCTAATAAATATATAATTAGGTAAAACGACTTGCCTCTCTTCGATTAACCCGAAGAACAATGCCCAGGTAGTTTTACACGTTCCAGACTCATAGTTCTTTATTAACACAATGTGCATACAGCGTTTTCGTTAGATTAACAAAGGAGGCGATACTTTCGTACGGGGAGCAATTGTTATTCCTTAATTAATAAAGTACTTCACTTTCTCATCAAATCGTGTTTCGTCGAATGCGCCGAAAGTTTGTCGACATTATTTTTCGCGTGTTACCATTTCTTTCCTCTTTTGTTCGAAGATCGCGTCAATAATTATTATGTTCCACAACGTTGTATTGCTTCGATGTCGTGACGAGCACTTGTTTCTGTGATTTCCAAACGTTTGTTTCAACGAATGAAACTTACGGTTTCTCTACTTTGGTACTGACTACATAACTTTACCAATAATGTCTAATCGAAACTAATGATCATTTTATTTATCGTACGTGAGATCGTGCGTGAAACTTGAAATAGAACCGAGTTTTATTGCTTACGATCGCTATGGTATAATTGTACGCGTGGAAACGAGTTTGGAAAACACCTAAGCGTGATTCTCTAATCGCACTAACACCGTCCTCGTTCAAGAACCAGAGGAAGTCGACGAACAGCCGAAGGACTTCCGGTCGTTAAACGAGCTCGTGAGAGAACGTAATGACGATGTATACTCTTTTCTCTGAATTTTCTGACGAATATCCCTGACGACGTAGAAGATGGTCTTCTTAATCAGTCTTTTCTTATTTTCGTTTTTTTTTTCATAAGAAGATTATCACAGAAGAACTTCCGTATTCTCTTTTCATTTATTTCCGTTCGAATTTATTTTCATTATCCACGCAAATTGACGCGATCCTTAGATTAATATTAAACTGGTCTCGCACTATTTATTGTATTACCACACCCTTAAAAGCTACGTCGAGGCTTTTCCTGTGATGATGTTTCCATGAAATTTATTTCATTCGCGAGTGTTACAACGCGGCCGGAGAACTCTCCTGATGAGAAAGACTAGAATTAATAACGCTGAAGACTACGTTTGTTGTTACGGATCCGTGGGAGCCTATAATACAAGTTTAGGATGAACACTTCGCCAAACAGTTTTAATTACGTTTCCAGTTTTGCTGGAATTTCCTTTTCGTTCCGTTTCACATTTCCTTCAACCCCTGCGTACCCTAAAATTCATACTCGTTCGTATCAACAACGTGAGAATAACTATCGTTCGATTTTACAATTAATTAGAACCTACACGATCGTTACAACAGCCCGTTTCTCCGTCTCGTTTAAGAGAGAATAGTAGGCATCTTTAAAATCGAGAAACGCGATAGCAGCCGAAGTTTATATATGAGATAAAATGTTAGGAAACTTAGCTGCCCTAATATAAGTATTATTTATTTTTATTTTATTATGCCTGTGTTTGTGTAAGTGTCTCCGTTAAAAAGTAAGAACTTATATTTTTCCGGGTTCGGTCGAAGGGCTTAACGTTACGCATGTAATCTCGAAAGAAAGAGCTACTGAACCATACGAAACAATAGCGCGAACGGGTTGATCAGAAATAAAACTCCCAAAGTCCGAAACGAATTACGTGTTATGATAATGTACAGTGTATCAAATTTTTATGATTAGTCGCATCCGGCGAAGTTCCGAAACCAACGAATATTTCTTTTCAACTTACTATTTACTCGGTACCGCGAGAGCTGCTGGTGCATATGTACAAGTTAACATTTCGAGTACGGAATTCTGCAGCCTTCGGAAAGTTCTCTATAGTCTAATCTAAAGTCGTTAGTCAGCTTCTCATCTCTCGGTGATGAGTTGTGGCAGTATATAAGGCATACAAGTTGTCCTCTTGCTTCGGGAGCCAAGGCTCGCGATCGCATACTTAGTCGAGTCATTTACGCTATATCGAGACGAGAAACCGACTAATCGTTTACTTAAAATGTACGCTGCTTCGGACAGACCATTCGAGCTCGAACACATAAGCAGAACTACACGACTTGCAAATGGTTATTGTATTATTTATCGAGATATTCGCAATGAGAAACGCGTCTCTCCTATCCTTCTTACGCTTTTCAAACGTTAATACTTACAAAGGATACTACATACGTTAAACGCTTTTTTTCCATTGCTGTGATATTAAAAACTTGTTAGACATCGACATGCACCTAACATTGAGAAGGGGATTGCTTATCGGTTTCCTTAGGCTACCTTTTTTTTGTTACAGAATCATCATCATCATTGTAATCGTACAATTCTATCGTCATACATATATCTATTATGTACAAGAGTGTTCAAGTATAGCTACGACGATATTTGCAAAAAGACGATGTTACACTAGAGTCGCTCTCTCTCCATCAACTGTTCTCCATTTCTACTTCTTTAAGAGCATAATTTCTTTTGCCACGCGGTTTCTCGTTTAAAAATCAGTTCACCGGGCCTAGATGACCAATATATAATAGAGGGATTATCTACAAATGCGGATGGAATCGTGCGAGCGAATCCACCATCGGAAATAATTATAAATACCATAAGAGAGATAAGAAAAAGATCGTATCGATCCGACGTGTTTTTCTCCACTTTTCGATTAATAAATACTATACACGTGCCCCGGTGGAGGCAAATCTCTCAGACATCCAGCCAACTTTTACTTCTCGACGTGATCGCGATTGGATCCTGCCCAATCTAATAAATCTACGCTTCGCGTAATCAATTGCCCTCATTTTTTTAACACTGTTTTCTTCTTTTAATTTTTCGTTTTTATTTCATTACAGGGTAACTCGCCGACTTCCCTTCCTCGTCTCGAAGACGTATCGACCTTTCTAATCGCGTACAAAAATCAGCGACCATTCACCGCTTCCTTCGAGAGTCGAGAGAAAGCGAAAGGGTTCGCGCCTCATTCGACGAGGAAACCGTGCACACGATATTCGTTTTCGACTATTCAAAATTTCCAGAGAAAAACTGTATTCGAGCTCTCCACAGAATTTACAATAAACCTGTACTGGAACTTAACTGACGTCGCGATGTAGGCGTTGTGAAATTATGTATAGGAAAGGAGGAAGTAAAAAAGTTTCATACACTGTTTTCTCTTGAAACCTTTAACTCGACATCGCCCCATCGCGAGAGTTCCTGTTATCTTTTAGGCAGCATCGGAAGGACAATACATTACACTTCCGTGGTGCGGCTGTACGGGCCGGACTCCTCCGATTGCGAGAGTTTTCGTTCCCGTTTGGCGAACAGATTCCCTAAAAAAGAGGGCTGCTGAGCCAGTCCTTTGGCACCACCGGGGATCGTGGCCCCTGGATGCATAGGATGAACTTGTCCAGGATGCTTAATGCCTTGGCTCATAGAGCTGGCAGACGTAGATTGAAAAGAAATCGACATACCGCTATCGAGCGAACCCACGCTTCCGCGTCGTTGCGGTTTTTCGCCAGCAACTGTAAACGAAACGAGGATTCTTCTATAGAAAACATTATTTCACCGCCGATTTATTCTTTTATCGCCTTGTCTACTTACATTGCTCGTGTATATCCAGAAGGGAATTGCTAAGCGCGGATCGTTTTAATTGCGTGTCCATGTCGGTGGTCTCCGACCTTTCGGAACACGAACCCGGGCAAGGACAGATTTCAACGTCCGCTACTCCGGAGTCTCTATTTTCGGCGCCGCCACCTCTGGCACTTCTGCTGCTCTTCTGTCGTTCCAGTTCCGTCTCGATCCGTAATGTCTCCATCTCGTCCATCTCGCTGATGGATTCCCTGAGGTCCTCCACGAACTTGCATCTATCGTGTGCATTCCTCGCGTTGAACGTGACCAGTACCTTTCCATCAACGCGCTGGGAGAGTCTTATTCCATACGGATAATCTGAGAACGGACATCATTGTCGATAACGTAATTATCAAAAGGAACACCGAAGAGTTCGATGCGATATTTTTTAAAATACCGAAACTTACGAGGAACCTCGAACAGCGTGACTACCATTCCGCACAATGGGAAACTCTGCCTGAACGTGTACGTGACGCTGTTCTTTTTCTTACTGAGAATCTTCGTGACGACAAGTAGATCGTTAAAGAGGAACACTTCCCGTTGATGCACGCCCGGTCTCTCCTTCTTGTTTATGTCGGGGATCTCGTAGAGCCTGCAATAGCAGACCAATCTTCTGTGCGGCAACGCCATATTCGGCTTCTTGCCGACGATCGTCGCTTGAACTTTCATCACTTGGGAGACGTGATCGGAACCAGGTTTAAATTCGTTCTCCTTCACTCTCTCGTAAATTCCGACCAGTATGTCTCGGTCTATGTCTCCGCAGTCGTCGATGCCGCGGAGATTTTTTATAAAGTCGTCCATCCTCATTCTGCGCTCCGGTTTCAAATTTGGCGTGTGCAGATCGGTGTTCAACATGATTATCGCAAACGCCAGGACGAAGACCGTGTCCGCGGAGCGTAGCCTGGAGACCACGTCGGGGTTGCACTGGCAATAACGTTGGCTGAATACTTCCATCAATCGTTCGATCTTCTGAGCCTCGCCCGGCATTCGGAAGTACGCTTGGAACTTCCGCAATGCTACGTCCACTTGCATTCCGGACAGGTCCAGCTCGTGAGAGAAGCATCTGCAAATTAATCCGTGAAGCGTTTGTTTAAACTTTTGAGATCCTCACGAGTTTCGGATCGTTATTGAGTAAGACGAAACGTTCGTTGAGAGCACTTGAAAGAGTATGCAGTTTTGTTTTGAAATTTGGGCTAAGAATCTCTTGATGACAGCGAAGCGACTTATTTACGTTCAGAAGGGCTGCTGCTACCGACTCTGTCCTCGATCATTCAAAACTCGGGTCGAGTAGTGTTCCGTTACCCGAACACGTGTTTTCTTTTTCGTGACCGGCCCACTCGCAACAGCTCCTGTTACGCTCTCGTCACGCTAATTGTAGAACTAAAAAGGGGCCACCGAAGTCCTTGGATCCTTTTACTCGATATCTGTTTAACCGCCGCGCGTTAAATTTCTACTTGTACCGAGAGAAAAAGAATGCGGCTACCGAATCAAAACAATTGCGCGTTCCTTAAAAAGACAAGAGAAATCGACTCTTTCTATAATAAATAACGGAGCCGCTGTTTCCGCAACGTCGATCACCACGATCATCGTGGGACGAATAAAACAGATTACCTTTCACCGAACGCGCCGTTACGTTCTCGCTTTTCCTTTCCGTCGAACCGATAAAAAATATTACTCACTCGAGCACGTGCATGTTGAAGGGATTCTGAAGATTTCCAAGGTATTCCCCGATCATCTGCTTCGACAATCCCTTTCTGCTGATCAAGAATCTCGCTACACCCTGAGGACTGTTCTCGAGAAATCCCCTTCGGATCAAGTAGGTGATTCCCCGCTCCGGTTTCTTGTTGAAGAGGTTTAGGCCCACTCGGTACTGTCGCTTTCTGACCGTCTCCGACACTTTGTAACTCGCCTGCGGCATGTTTTCCGGGTGGTCCATCAGGGGATGCTGATACCCAGAACTAGCGTGGGAGTGGCCCAGATCTTTCACGTTGTTCATCATCGTCGCCGAGTCCGTCGCGTGGTTCGCGATCTCTTGATGCTCCGGCGAACTTGACTAGACGACAATCACAAATCCCCGATAATTTTTTCTTACCGTTAAATCTTCGCGATAAAGAAGCAAAGACTCTTTCTGAATATCGTCTAGCCGAGAAGAGGGTGAACAAGAAGCGACGAGGCAAAGAGGAAACTGAAAAAGGGCGAGGAAACTCACGATTCCTTTGTGCTTCCACACAGGTGATCCTCTTTGAGGGTCTCCCTCGGAGCTCTCGCAATTAGTGGAATCGCTACCGGAACTCTGGACCGAGCTCAAGCTACCGTTCTCGACGCTCTTGCTCAGACCATTGTGCCGCGGCTCCATGGATCTGGACGTAATGGAAGACGTTCTTTTTGGCACTTCCGGCGGCACCTTCTTCGCGGATGCCCTCGTTCTGCCGGCGGAACCGAGATGCCCGACGCTACTCCAATTCTGTGGCACCGGCGTTTGAAGATTGTGCGGCGTCGACGGTGACGTACATGGCGTTCGCAGAAGATCGCGCGGAGGCGTTTCTTGCCTTATACTGCAGAGCGTCTCCTTTATCCGAATAATTATAGTTAAAAACGTTATTTCATGCTATTCGCGATATATCGTCGCAAACTTCGACCAAAGAAAAATGATTTCAATGTGTAAGACGCGTTCATTTATAATTTCTTAAAAAATTCTTAAAGTTCTAGTCACCTGTGGATTGTAATAGTGCATGCTGGAGCCGCTCTCTTGCGAGCTCGATTCCCAGCACGGGCTAGGTGGTAGCTGTTGGTGTCTGTTGCAGGGGCTCGGGGCCAAAGACGGGGTGTGTCTGCCAGTTTGATGTATGTTATGATTCGCGTGCTGATGACCACCGCCAATTTGGACCTCGCACCTGCCGCTTTGGCTCCTGGGTATCGGCGACTGCGAGTTCTCCACGTGCCTCCTCTCCCGGAGGGACATGCTCCTAATAGGCATCGGCCGGTTCGCGGCCCCCGACGGCTGCTGTATGTAAATTTGACTATGATAGACCATCCTTTCATGCTCGTTGGCGTTCCCAGTCCTCTCCGTGTTGTCTTGGATCTTTCGGCTCAAACGCTTTTCCGCTTTGGCCATCGCAGTAATCGCCGCGAACTTTTTTAAAAGCGTGTATCTCCTGAACGCTCGCTGGATAGTCAACGCGGCGTTCCTCGCCTTCACGCCACCGTATTTTCGCTCTAACATCTCGATCTGCTTGTCCAAAAGATCTTGAGACAACTCGTACCTGTTCGAGAAAATTTCTATTCTGCATTGGACGCGTACAATTGTCCTTTTACAGATTCTAGATTTTTGTTTGCAGCCAATACCGCGGATTGGTTTCAGAAATTAAAAGCTTGAATCTGAATGGAACTGGCAACGAAGACGTGCGTTCTGCGAAACCTCGTACTAAATAATTGACCGCGAGCAATGTGCAAATTCCTTCGTCAAATGATAAGAAACAAAATCACGATGGAGCAACAGATCATCGTACAAAAGCGAAAAATGAATACAGCGAATTGATCTTACGCAGTCTGAAGACGGCATCTCTTCAACACGTCTCCGTTACGTACAGGTCCTTTTTTAAGATGATTCTGTTGATACCCGCTCGCCTGCGGCTGACCACCGTAGCCCTGCACCATAGTGCCGTAACTCTGCGGCTGGTTGTAACCCGCGTGGGCGTACACCCTCACGTTCGACGTCGAATTGTACGGTCCATGTCCGTAATTCTGGTTCTGCACGTACGACTGACCCGTGATGTAGGACGTCGTCAGGGACGTTTGACTACCGGACGAGTACACGCCGTGCATGCCGCTACCGTGCACCTGGTTCACGTTCGCGGCATGCTGCGACGGCCTCTCCATCTTCTGCGGGAAGCTGTAACAGAGACAGCAGATTCGGTTACGATCACGCGGACACCGTTCAGCTCGGAGATGACACGGTGGAATGTGAGTAAAACTTGGAACACGAGATTCGCCCTCGTGTGTCTCTGAACTTCCATAGGGAAATCGTACACCCGTTACAGGATTACTATGGGAATTATAGGATCATGCATTATAAACGAATATTTAGTTGTACAGTCATCGACGTTCCATCGACGCGATACATCCGCGAAATTGCAGTAACGAGCGGGTAATCGGCAGACCGCGTTTCTACCCGCATTCAATTTTCTCGCAGCACCTGCGAATTGAACCGCGGACGAAATCCACCGGGTCACCGTCGCTCGAATGCCAGCTGCGCGTCGCCGATTCATCCCTTCAAGGGATCGTGAGTTTCACGGTAATGAGATTAAAAAAAAAAGAGCGAACAATCTAACACCAGCCTTTCTGGACAGCCTTTCACTCCTCGATTTTACGGTTAACGATTAATTTCTTTCTCATGCCGGTTGCACGCTGGATTTGGCGATGAAAGCGTTCTGCTTTCGTGAACTATTTCCCATTCGCGTGAACTTTTGCCATTTGGATACGAAACGTTTCGTTCGAATTGGGATAAGTGTAGGATCGCGTTATTTTTTAGTTTCAACATGTACGTTTTTACTACCAGCGAGGAAAGTACATCCGAGGACAGGGGACAAATCGTAACGAGATTACAGCGTGCAATTTGCAAGTTAATTTCGTTTCATCTCGTTCTGAGTAGCGCGCTCGCTCGCGCGCGCACGGCTTTTGCACACCAGCACTGGCATTGGTTTATTCGATATCCGGCCGCCACGCGATTGCCAAACGTGATTTCCGGAGATCCCACTCATAAACGCAGAGGGTCTCACAATTTTCATCGCAACGCATTTAGGAATTTACAAGATAACCAGTCACTCTAATTCTATTTGCTAAATGATTTAACGATACGTTAACGGGAACATTCTAGACGTTACTATTGTTCTTTGTCGAACAAAAACACTTTTAGCAGAAGTAAACCTGGCAACCGCAGGTACTACGATGGAACATCGCTCGAAAAACGTCACCTTTGGCTAACAGCTGTCGACGATTACTATTCGGGGGATCGTTTCGTGTTCGTGAATCACGCGATGAATCATCGTTCGCAAATCACCCCCTTACTATTGTAGAACAACCACCTACCCCGTGAGAAAGCCAGCCACCCAGACCACCATGCTGATTCTTCGTTTCCCTCCACTAATTTATTCTTAATCGACCGAACAAACTTTATACTTCATCGACCGAACGCGAACACCACATTCTTGATGAAAGTTCAACGGAACTAAAGTATCACTGTGGTAAACGGTGGTAGGATCTCTCAGGATAAAAAGGAATTACAGCGGCTTCGAGTTTGGAAGCGGTTCGAGGCGGTTGGATGTTCACTATACGAAGGATCACGATAGTCTGAGGATCGCAGGGTGGACTGGAAGCGATCGAGGATCGTGAGCAGCTGGCAGCCGCAGGCATTCTTCCTCCTCGGGAATCAAGGAAATCAGTGACAGCGGCGGGGTGAGGTGTACCAGAGCACGTGCATATCGGCTACATCAGCAGTGGTGTGCAACTTACTGCTCTGCTCGCCGATCGATTTTATCCCTACCCTTTTTCCTTCGTAACGTCCCTCCAAATTCAATTTTTCGACGATGCTTCTAAAACGTGTCGCAATTCAGGTTCTATCGTCGAAGAACATTGCCATGGAGCAAACAAATGTTTTTCAATTTTGTACACCGGTAAAAATAGGATCAAAGAGACGCAGGAAGCACGCGATACCGGGATATAAAAATGAAACGGTTCGACCCTGAAATGGGTTAAGAGACACTCGAGAATAAATGGTATGTGCACGTTACACGCAGGTTCGTTATTCGACGAGAGGAGAGGATGGAAAGGGGAAAGGTGGAAGAGAAGGGTACCTTTTCGAGCAGCCCTCGAATATGCGTATCGGCTTTCGCATGTGTGTCAGCAGGTATACGGGAGAAGGCGACTGACGGCGATGACGACGACGATGATGATGATGATGATGACGACGGTGACCGTGACACTCAACCTTCCGTGCCTTATGCAATGCGTGTTCAATTAAGCGTCTTACGTAAGGGCCAAGATGCAAATGTGTTTACGCGTGCCAAACGAGCGCGTTGCGTGAAGTCTGAAAAGTTGACCCCTCGGTTGATTGGATTTTGCAAGGGATAGTGCGATTTACGCGCCGATGGAATCTACGCGTTCCTTCTTTTGTTCGAAGACAAAGCAAATACGAGATTCCGAAGGAATATTTCTTGAATGATAAAAAATATGTAGCAAAGATGATTTATTGTTTAGCAGGGAACCGACGCCACTTTCTCGCTATTCTTTCCCATTAAAGGGAATTACATTTTTCTAACTAACAACAATTGTCTTAAGCGCAACGTAATTGCAGGAAAACTTGCCGGTTGGAATTGTATTTAAAACGTGCTCGCTCACGATCACGTGCACGGGTCTAACGTTAGACTAGACGGCTGCACGCACATCCTGAGAAACTCTTTGAAATTCAACGACTAATTGTCCGTCGAGAATACCCAGTTATCGCTTACAACGGCGATTGCATTTTAATGCAAAAAAAAGTGCAATTAATAATGCTACAGAGATGAAATTTACATGTTTACCCTGTTTCATACTTATAAATATGAGACAAAGCCAAGTGCCAATTGAAAGAAGGTATTAACCCGACGAATTAACTCGAGCCGCTGAATGCGTGCAGGGATTTGTTCATCGAGGCAACACCACGCGTCTGCCACAGGTAACACAGCACGTACTCTCTAAAAGTGTTCTCTATCGAAGAGAAAGAACGAGAGAGGAACGGCTGCTGGAACCCGGGGTACGCGTTTGACTGGCGAAGCTACTTTGGTTAAAAAACACGAAGCCAGGTGCACGCTCGGAGCCACTTTACAACACGCATACGCGCGCGAGGTAGCAGCAGCAACAGCAGCACGCGTGCATCGCGGCACGAGCTCCGCGAGCAGCCGACAGGCAGATGTTTCTCCTCTCGGGAGGGCTTTAATGCCACCCTGGCTCCAATTTATTTCTCTTCCGAAGAGTAAAGACCGCCCTCTAAACGCCGGACGGTTCTCTACCGAGAACTCGCGCCGTTTGTTACGCGTCTCGTTGAATTTCTGCTTCAGTTGCCTCCGACTCCGGTGTATACGAGGGTAACTCTCTCCGTCCCGATTCAGCTTTCATTTAATTGCGAATGATCAATAATAATAGACCGTGAATTTTTATATAAAATAATTGCATCCTTTGTATCTTCCGCATTCACATTTCTCTGTAAGCGCGTCAAATTGATCTAATCATGAAATTACAGTCGGTGGAAGCATGAGAGGAACGAGTCTAATCGTACAACGTCTATTCGACGCTTTTTGTAAGCGTTCTGAAAAGATATAAACGCGTCTCGTCTGGTTCCAGGAAACAAACGGGCTTTCAGAACGGTCGCAGTTTACGCCCTCGATAAATCCTCTGGAGGCTGACTCCTCTATTGTCTTAGGGCACCCGTTTGACTTCGACGGCACCGTCGACCGTCGTCGGAGCAACGGACAATGAAGACGGCCGTGGAAAGAGAAGGGGATGAAAGAGATAGTCTAGCGCGGGGCCACTCGTGCGTTTACGCCAAGACAAAACCCTCAGACGCGTAGGCTTCAGGTGGAGTGCATCAGCTGCCACTTGGACACGTGCCATAGAAGCCTTCGCGGTGCTTCCTCCTTTTTTTTCCTTCCACGTTTTTTTGCCTCCTAGCGCTATTACACTTCGTCTAGTTCGACGTATACAGAATGTACGGCGCGTTAGAAGAAAGTATGAAATCATTTATTTCATGTAAAATGAATATCGTAAGGGGATTCGTATTCGACTAAAGTTTCGAGTGATCGGAGGCGAGGAGGCAGCCAGACGGCGGCAATTTCTCGGGAAATCGCGCGGCTCGTTACGCGCATCGCTAGATTAACGTCGCACGTAATTAAATGGCGCCGCGCCGTGAGCACAGGTCGCACACTCGTCGAGTGCATTCGTATGTTCGCTCGCCGTGTGCACGACTTTTCCTCTTTCTATCTCGACCTGAGAAAAAAACCCGACGCGAATTTTCAAAAGAGAGATCGGAGGAGCGGCTTAAAGGGGAAACGTTAATGTACAAACGCGGTCTCATGAGATATTGGAAATTCATGACTGCTGTTTCCCATAGTTTTCCTCGATAGATAGAGAGAACAAGTAGCTGAAGTCGGCGTACTGGCGTAAGCCGGGGATCTAACACGCGCTCGTACCGTTAATGGCAATCAACGGTTGTTAATTGCTCGATGATAATTAGTCGGAGCTTGGGGAAGCGGCCAGGCGGTAATGGAGCACGCCTTAATAATTCCTTTAATGAATTCGAGACACCGTGCGTGGCTTCTTCCGCGTGGCGGAAGCCAACGAACCACCGTTCCTTCCTCCCGACATCCGAGACCAGCCAGTCAGTCTGCGCGAACACCTTGTTTCCTCTGTTTTTATCGAGATTTCCCCATTTGCTCGAGGAAATTATGGTATGAAATTAAACGCCAATTTATTACTAGCGCACGAAATCCATCAGCTTCGGTTCGGGAATAAAAGACTCAGAAGGTGTGTTCAACGTTTACTTAATACCAATAAATCTGGGGATTAGGATAAAACTGAAAGCGTAATTCTAGATGAACCGAGATAGCTGCTCCCTTTTATTCTAATAGGGAGACGATCTCTTCCTCCGGATATTTCACCGCGTTTCGAGAAGAAGATTTACGCGGCTAAAACCCGTGCGTGGGAACGCGATCCACACTCGACAGATACTCCCGCTCCCTTTTATGCATATAATTAACGCGGATAAGTCACAGAGCAAAGTTCTCCGAGGGTTCTCCAGATGAAAGATTTCCATAAAATAGTCGGAAACTATTTGCCCAACGTTGAACCGTGCAGAATCGGCCGGAAGCGAGCCATGAATTAGGCCACCGACGGTAATTATAATTTTATAAGTCACGTTTCTCCCTGTTTCTCGATCTCAATGTTATTACGCTGTATACGATTAATCGTTGGATGTGCGATTCAGTGGCTTCGTGGAGTTAGGTGTTAACACAGCACAGAGATTAATCACGAGTCGCGTTATAATACGATTAATCACTCTGGGACACGAACTTTGGAAAATAGTCGATGTTCGAGACAATTGCTTGACTCGATGTATATCAAAAAGTATAAGTACCGGTTGATGAAGTTGGTGGGCGTGGAATAGCCCAGCTGTAGCCGCGACCTGATCACCTTTTCTTGGACGGTGACCATCCTCGAGTTCCTGGAACTCTGGTGAACCCTGGTGGTCCTTATCACTTGGTAACAGTGGTGCCTAGCGTGGGTGTTACCCACCCTATCGTTCCTCGGCTCGATCATCGTGAACATCATTGCTTTTCACTGATCACGGATCACTATCATCTCGCATAAGATTGATTCATTGTTCTTCACTCTCATATTTTTCTTATCGATTATCACAGTGCTCTTTGGTTTGTCGCGCCAATGCGGGCGTCTCAGTTATCCGAGATACATTTCGGTACCCAACAGACCTGATCGAGAAAAAATTATTTTTGGAGACGTCTGGCAATTTTTATGAACGCGCAGTCGTTTAGTAATTAATCATGGCAAAAATCCGATAACTTCGGGTTTGTACTCAAGATCAATTGATCATTTTAGGAAGTGATTTAATTAAGAAAGTTTCAATTGGAGACTAACGAAGAGCATTCGATTCTGAATAATTCCTGATAAAGTTTGTCAACCTTATTTAATATGTACGACTTATGATCGACCGTTTTCACTGGTGTTTCTTTTCCGGTTCAATCGACGATCGACCGCGAGACTTTCTAGCGGTGAATTCGATATGCGCGGTCACGGATCGGGTCGAAACACGCGAAGCGGTAGTCACGGGAAATGAAATTCTTCTTTCGTTTCGCAACTGGTTCTATTCAGAGTACGACGAACATTTTTATTAATGTTGAATTAAATCTTGCACAATGTCCAACGACGATACGAAACTGGCGAGCACCAGGGAACTGAATGAAAAAATTTCATAACTTTATCCCGGGCAATTTTATATTTCTTTCGCTTCTAAATTTCACGTTCTCCGCTTTAAAAACTGGAGCGCGGAGTTAATCCAATAACGTTAGCATCTACTTTCGTAAATTAATTAAAACTCTTTTAGCAATACCGGAGGGACATAATTCGCGAGAATCATTTTTAAAGAGGGAGCTGGAGATCACTGTACTCGTTACTATTCCAAACCATTTTTCGTACGTGAGGCCTCGATACAGTCGCGGTGAAGAGGAACAAACGGTATCCACTGACACGTTCTAGTTACAGCTAAGACTAATTGCATACGAACGATTTTTTATAATGGTGTCAACTACGCTATAAAAAAAAATACTCCAGTTGCCACGCGATCTCGACGGAGAAACGAAAGAGAGGAAAGCTCGACGTAATCTCGAAAGAAAAGAGTGGAGTAAATAAAGATTTGGTCGACACGAGCTTACGGGTTGGCTTCGCGCTACAAATAACAGGGCAAAAGAAATATACAGAGCCTGACTTAACCCTTTAGGAACTCCACTCATTTCTATATACTCGACGGTTTACGAGGATCCTATTTTTATTCCCGATTCGTGTCCCGCGATAAGAAGAAAAAAAACCGAATCATCTCCGGTGAAACGCAGTCTCTTCTGTTATCTCCTATTTAAATATTATCTATTTGTCAGCCGTTTAGCTACCGGAAGTCCATTAGCGGTGTTCCTTTCTCTCGAAACACTTTGAATGTTCCATTCGAACCGCAAACTCGCCTTGATCAACGATCAAGCAATTAAGATTCGCGGAAACTGCTTGGAACGATGTCTTCGTTATTGATTCGTGCATCGGTCAAGTTTCTAGCAAACGTTTCTCCGATTAATTAGAAACGTCGGACAGTGTATATTTTTACTCTGTTAATGGACTGAAAAATCGGATTGCGTCTAAACATAGAAAATTTCTCGGACAGACGATTAACCCTTTAACGGTTCGCGAGAGACACGGCGTTGATTTCCGTAAAAGGCGCGCTGGGTATCATGGAGCGTTCTCGTTTTCCGGTCGCGCAGGAATTAATCGACCTCGAAGCAACGTACAAGTGGGAAAACAGGAGGAACTCCGCTACTCCTCGCCCTTATTCCTTATTCCGGCGATTTTCGCCGAGGGAGAAGATTCACGCGGAGAAAGAATCGCGGGCTCATTAATCAGCTGCCATTAGGCTGATTGCGGTTTCGCGTGCAACCGCGTATCAGCTGATTTAGCGTTAAAAGGATTGTCCGCGAAAGGCACGCTTTCTCAAGATCCGGGCCGTGAAAATGGAAACGAATGTACTCGGAAATTTCAGATGCTATCTGTTCACAAATATTATTTAAGACATTTAATGAGGAGAGGCGTCGATTCTCTGATTATATCCAACAATTATTTTCACTGGCCCCACAGTTTAATTTACACACAGACACTACCACGATGATTCTAAAGAAAAATGCTCTCCTCAATGATGATGATGAACAAAAACCACCACGATCTACTATCTACAAGAGAAATAGAACGAGCATAGACGTTTCACAGGTGTCGTCCGCCAAACTATCGTCAGGGTCGCGAGAATGCACGGTCCGATAACTCTTATCACTGGACAGAGATTGGAAAACAAGTACAGGGCAGGGGGAATACCTCGACATATCGGCGCGCAACGTTGATTCACTAGCGTCAAGTACGGTACTGTTTGCCGTTAGCTTCGATACCATAATGGAACTGTCAAAGTCAAATGAAAGGTGGAGCGTGCCTCCCACCGGTGCCGGTGATTTCAACGCGTGTGCAACCGACTTGCCTGGCCCCCGCGCCGCGCCGCGCCGCTTCGCGTTTCTCGAATAGAGGTCAATTTCCGTCCATGGAATTCCACCGTTCGTCGAACAAAAACTCTAAAACAAGTTTCATCGACGAATCCTGCCAAGGTTGGAAGCAATTTTGATAAGATACGTCCGATACACTTATAATTAAAGAGGCGCAAATTATATCGGTTGCAAATCAATCACTGCTAATTTTTCATTTTTAAATAAGAGAAACGGTATATTTAAATGTCACCTGTACGCCAAAGACACGTTAAAAACCGAATGTCGGATATAAATGAGCCGCGGATAGAAAAGTTACGGTGCTCCAGTAACCGGAGTTGCACTTTCACGCATATTAATGTACCGCGATAAGGATTTTACGCGAAAGGAGTCGAACGACAAAAGTAGAGTACCCGCAGTGTTTCACGACTCGTCATCGTTTTCCTCCAGATGCGCGCTTTCCGTTATCGAAGATCAAACAAGAACATGAAGACGATTTCGCCACGGATTTCCGTTTCGTCATTCGCAACGACGACGCTGCGATTTCGCAGCTGGCTAATCCGAGATCGTATCAAATGATTTTATTGCTTTCTCGCAACAGGTTCATTACCGTCCCGGTTTTGTGTTCATCACACGAGTCGTATCTGACTGATTATCGTGCATTTTGTAATTGCAAACGCTCTTTATAGTTTGAAGTTCACTCGTAACTAGAGTCCTCTCTTAATACAACTCGGCTACAGAGACACTGCGAAGTCGGTGCAAGCCTATCGGCGCGTGGATCTCCGAATATGCCTGTGGCAAAAGTAAAAGTCGCAGCCATCGGGGAGAAAGCCTTGTCGCTTTACGAGCGGCCTAGACATGAGCTAGCCGTGAGAGGCTGGCAAAGGTTACAACCCATTTCGAATCGTGGCTCCGCGCGCCGCTTCCTCGAAAGGCAATTAGGCCGAGGGAACGTCTACGAATTTTCATTTACGAGTACTTTCCGAAGCGAGAGTTCTGCGAGGACTCGAACACCGAGCGTTCCAAGTAATTCTACTTAAGGATGTATTGGCTATACAGTCAATCCTAAAAGTTTATGTACCTTAGAAAAACGCATTTCCTATAATTGAAAAGAAATCA